GCCTCGCGGTCCCGCTCGTCGTCCTCCTTCCGCGAGATGACGGTCTCGCAGAAGGAGGACACCGCCCTCCACGACCTGTCGCTCCCCACCATGGCCGCAACCACGGCCGGGAGCAAGAGGTCTCCCCCTATCTCTAAACGGAGCGCCCGCCTTTCCCTGGCAAAGGCCGGGATCTCCTCCAGCACGTGCCGCGCGGAGTCAATCTCCGCGCTGCACTGGTGGCACTCTGCCGCTGCCTCGGCTCCAACTTTCTGTAGGTACTCCCCGAACCATCCGTGCCCGGTGAGCACCTGCATGAGCCGGTAGGATAGCCTGCCGTGCCGACGGTCCAGCCATCCACCAAGGACGGGCAGGACCGCGCCCACCGCTCGCTGCCTGGCGGCGCCGCTTCTTTTCGCGAGCGAGCCGCCGACCCTGCCGCCTCAACCCTTCAACCGCGTCGTCCGGCAGGTCGGCCCCGTTCCGGCGGAGGCTCTGCAGACACCGATATACTTCGGCGTCAGTCTCCGCCTGGAAATCAAAGTGCACGACCCCCGCCAGGACGGCCGCCGCCTCGTGGGAGATGGTGCGGTACCCCCTCGCGATCCTGATAGCCATGCGGCGCTGAATGCGCCGCAGTAGCTATCGGCACCGCCGGCCGGCCATCAGGTCGCGGGCCCACACGGGTGACCCGTGTAGGGCCATCGCCCGCATCACCCCCATGTAGAGTCGGCGTACCCTCTCCTCCGGCCCCCCGAGGTTGGGCATCAGACGACCCAACAGGGTCGCCACGCCCTCAATCCGGGGGACCAGGCGGTCGAGGTGTCCTTCGACGCGCCAGCGGCTGTCCAGGTCGAAGCCGAGGTACTTCATTCGACCCTCGACCCGGACACAGGCATCTCCTACATGGACCCAGGCCTGGTGGACCCACCGCGACAGAGGTAGTCCATGAAACATGACCACCTCCGTTTTTAGCGGCGAGATCTGTAACCCCAGGTCCCGGATCCGGGCGACGATGAGCGCCACCGCCACCTCCGCAATGCGGATGGTCCTCGTTCACTCCCTCCCGACCGCGATGATCAGCGTGTCGTCCGCATAGCAGACGACACGCACACCGGGCGGGAGGAGCCCGCGCAACACCGAGTCGTACCCCACGTTCCACAGTAGGGGTCCAAGAACGGACCCCTGGGGCACGCCTCGGTTGACCCTCCGCCGCACGATTGTGCCAAGCCGGCCGGGGTACTCGATCACCCTGTCCGACAGGTAGTCCCGCAGCACGATCCGGAGATACGGAGGCACCCCGTGTTCTCCGAGTGCCTCCCGAATCGTGTCCCAGCGGATGGTGTTAAAGCCGTTGGCGATATCTAAACTGATCGCCAACGCCACACCACCGCGGGAAACTGCCCGGTCCGCGAGGGAGCGCTCGTGGTCTATCGTGTCTAGCGTAGACCGCCCCCCGCGGAAACCGTATTGGCAGTCTGCCAAACCGGGACCACCGTCGGACATGCCCCTCGACAGGCGGGCAGCGAGCTCGCGCTCGAAGAGCTTGCCCGCTTCGTCGAGGAGGCATATCGGCCGGTACGCCGAAGGAGAGTCCGCGGTCTTTCCCTTCTTCGGGACGAGCACCATCCGGCCCCGCTTCCAAGGCAGCGGGACCCGCCCCGACATCATGCAGCCGTCAAACAGCCTCATGAGTCAGGGCCCGAGGACGCGTGTGGCCAAACCCAGCGCCCGCCCGGGGATGCCGTCAGGCCCCAGAGCCTTATTGGCCCCGAGGCGCTTGACGGCCGCCGCCAGCTCCCCCTGCGTGACGCCCAGCTCGGCGGACCAGTTGGTCGGGTCCGCCGGCTCGAGCGGCCGCGAGCCCTCATCCGGATCGTCCGGAAAGAGGATCTCAACGATACGCTCGAGAGCATGGGGGTCGAGAGACTCCGTGACCGGGGGCCCCGCCGGCCGCATGCGTCCCAGGACGATGCGATACGGGCGCCCCCACGGGTCACGGTCCAACGTCACGAGGAGCTCATCCCAGGCACCGGATTTGGCCTCCCTGATGGCGCTCTGGAGGTCTACCGTCGCTCGCCGATGGACACACGTCACGCAGCGCAGCGATCTCGTCGCTCCACCAATACTCCCTGTCGACGTCCGCGACCGGTCCGGCCGGAGCCTCCCCCCAGGACACGGCGAGGGCAGCTGCCATTACCGCGTTCTCCTCCAGGCGCTTGAGCGCCCATCTACGCGGCGGTCAGCCAGCGCCCGGGCGGAGAGCGGGGTGGTGTCGAGGGGCAGCGGAAACATCGAATGCAATGTGGAGGTGGTCACTAAGTGTCACCATCTCCTCCGCCACCCTACACCCCGACACGAGACGTGCGGCGGCGGGCGTAGCCCATGAGAGGTCGACGATTGACTCTCCCTGCCACCGCACGCACGTGCTCGCAGACCCTCGGTTGAGCAGCCGAAGGTCCGCGCTCGCCGCCCATTCCTTCACGGCGTCGCCCCTCGCGTCGGTCCTGGGGCTTCCCCAGAGGCTAGACTTCGCATTGAAGTCCCCCAGGACCAATGTTGGACGAGTCGGATCACGGGACACAAGGTCCCGGATCCCGTCCAACAGCATCTCAAATGCCGCGAGAGGCATGCTCGGAGGGGCATACACCCCGACCACCGCGAGGCGCCCATACAGCGCCGCGACGAAGCCGCACCCGCGCGTCAAAACGCTCAGGGGCATAGCCCCGTCACCGACCACCGCCACGGAGCCCAGCGCGTCCCCCGCCCAATCGGGGTGGTCAGGGACGCGGTACGGCTCGGCGGCAACGGACAGGCCAACCCCCAACTCGGCCAGGCTATGGACAAACAAGTCCTGCGCCCGTGCCGCGTGGTTGAGGTTTGCCTGGTGGATCCGGACCATACGGGGGAAGGTTAGTCCGTAACAAATGGCCTCCC